CTTTTATTTTAATGATTATGTCCTGCTGGAGTGTGACATGATTAGTTTGTGTACAAACTAATACAGTATCAGAATTTTATATATTTATACTTCTCATTCAACCACAATTAAATAAAAGTAACAACTTTCTACTTCTTGCCTTTTTAAAAAAAATGTAAGAATTAGAAGTAAAAAGTAGGCTGAAAAATAATTACTTAAGTAAAGTACAGATACCCAGAAATGCTACTTAAGTACAGTAAAGAAGTATTTATAGTTAGTTACTTGACAACTCCTTGAGCTACTTCAACAGAATTTCATGTTTATATGCTGCTGTCATTTTTACTGTAGTGCAAGTCATTTTAACATGAGGCAAACAATGCAAATGTTTATGAAGTTCTCTTTATCCAAACTTTTAAGGAAAATACTCATGAGAACAAGACTGTCTGGCCAAGTGGGGAGCAGCAGGTTTAAAGGGGAGCTCATTTTACCTTCTCGTCCCCATCCCCTCTTGGTTGAGGGGATTGCTGTGACATAGAGTCTCTGTGATGAGATCAGAGCTTTTACCATAAGAATTGACTTTTTTCAAATTGAAAGGAAATTAGGCATTCATTCCTCCAGATGAAGATGTTTATCAGTTTGATTGATTCATCTTCTTACAAAGTCTGCTCAGACCCAATTGCTGTGTTTAGTTTGAAACAAACCAACATTTTCCAATGGTTGTATTACTGCACTAATATGCCATCACTGCCTTATTTACCACTGCAAATCACTACCTTACTGCAGAAGAGTTTACATGCCCGAAGAACCCTAGGAGCTCTGCTGTTGGGGGCAACCAGCCCTGGTAGGGTCTCTTAAGGCAGATTGGTCCTCGGTGACGGGTCAGACAAAGGGTGATTCAAAGTACAGCAAGAAGCTTGATGTCCCTCCCTGGACGTGGATTACCTGAGCCCTGCACCTGGAACCAGTCCTGGGGAGTGGCTTGACACTGAGGGCCTGGTTGATTTACCCATGGGGCTCAGTTAGGCTCATGAAATACACTGGTTTTCCTTCCTGTGGGTCTGCACCTGCAGGAGGAGCTGCATGGTTCAGGTGCAATGTGCTACAGGTGGCAGATGAAGGTGTAGACCTTGGTGCTTTGACCCCAGCTTTCCAAAGCTGGCTCTTGGGACATGGAACGTTACATCTCTGGTGGGTGATAGAGAGCTACTGACTGGATATAGTTTGGCTCATCTGGACCTTATTATCTATTGTGAGAGGCACCAGTTGTGTATTATATATCTGTTTTTACTGCATTATTATGGTACCATAATGTAGTAAGCTCTTCATTTATACTTTTCAGATACAACTAAGAGCAGGAAAGTGATCAATGCAATGACTAAATGCTCAATCTTTACTGAAACTGCCACTTTAAGTTAAACACTTGTATGTTTTCTAGTGAAACGTTTAACTGATGGTAACATGTTTGCTTTTAGAACACAATGATTGATCCAAATAATGAGCTCTCCTACACCATGTGGAAGGACCTCCCAGTGCCCTTCTTCATGTCGGTCTACTTCTTCAACGTGCTGAATCCTGAGGAGATCCTGAAAGGAGAGAAGCCCATGGTGGAGGAGAGAGGGCCTTACGTGTACAGGTACACAACTCAGACACACCACCCTTACAACCTGCTTCTGAGTCCCCGCCCTGGATTGCAGTTTTGCTGCCTTGCAGTTTCTTGAAAACCTGAACCTGCGAACAAATTCTGTTGTGTATTTTTGTGCGTCTTTGTTTTGGTCAGTTTCTTAAAAAATAAACACCCTGCCTGAAATATTGAATGCTTTTTGGTGGCCTGTTCAGTCTGGTTGGAGGTCTCATTTGATGTATGTTGTATTAAACTTGCAGGGGGAGGGGCGTCAGCAGGGGTGGGGGGGCGACCATGGCCCCCACTGAGAATAAGCTGGCCACCCCAGTTTTATCCTTTTGAGTACCCAGGTTTATCCTTTTTTAATTCCCCTACCTATTTAGGAATAGAGCCTCATTAATATAAAAAACAAACATTGATTTTTTTTAACAATTAAGAGTTAAAAACATTAATTTATATTTTATTTTAAAAAATAAATTAAAATTAAAATGTAGCACCTCTGAATAAGGACA